CCAGTGGATGTTGAGTATTTTGCGTAGACAACTGTTTAAAAATACTTGTACCTTCCTGATGATGGTCGTAGTAGTTCTCCACGTTTCAGCTCCGCACAGTAGGACTGTCTTGACGTTCGTGTTAAAGATTCTCACCTTGAAATTAGTTGAGAGTTTTTTTGAGTTCCATATGTTCTTCAATTGTAGAAATGCTGCCCTTGCTTTGCCAATCCTCGCCTTTACATCTGCATCCGATCCTCCTTGTTTATCAACGATGCTCCCCAGGTACGTGAATGTTTCCACCTCTTCCAAAGTTTCGCCGTCAAGTGTGATTGGGTTGGTGTTCTCCGTGTTGCATTTGAGAATCTTGCTTTTTCCTTTGTGAATGTGGAGACCTATCGATGCGGAGGCTGCTGCTACATTTGCTGTCTTCATCTGCATTTGGTCGTGTGTATGAGAGAGGAGGGCTAGGTCATCTGCGAAGTCCAAATCATCTAATTGATTCTGAGCTGTCCATTGTATTCCGTATCTCCCATCAGATGTCGAATTCTTCATAATCCAGTCAATCACTAGAAGGAAGAGAAATGGGGAGAGTAAACAGCCTTGTCTGACTCCGGTCCTTACTGGAAATGAGTCTGTCAGCTGTCCTCCATGCATGACTTTGCACTGTAGTCCATCGTATGAGTTTTGGATAATGTTGACAATCTTTTCAGGAACTCCATAGTGTCGAAGAAGTTTCCATAATGTTCTCCTGTCCACGCTGTCAAACTCCTTCTCGTAGTCAATAAAGTTGACGTATAGTGATGAGTTCCACTCAACTGATTGTTCAACGATGATCCGTAGTGTCGCAATCTGGTCTGTGCACGACCGATCCTTACGGAATCCAGCCTGATGATCCCTAAGTTCGGCGTCTACTGCGTCTTTCATCCGATTCAGCAGCACTCTGTTGAAAAATTTTCCTAATACTGATAACAAACTGATACCTCTGTAGTTCTCACATTTGCTCAGATCTCATTTCTTTGGTATCTTGATGAGATATCCTTCTTTCCAGTCCGTTGGCACTTGTTCCTTTTCCCAAATCTTCTTGAATAGAAGGTGAAGCATGTTTGCAGTTATTTCAATGTCTGACTTCAGTGCTTCTGCTGGTATATTGTCAGGTCCTGCCGCCTTCCCACTTTTGATTTGTCTGATGGCCATCTTGACTTCTTCGATCGTTGGTGGAGTGACATCTATTGGAAGGTCAGTGTGGGCTGCTTTGATGTTCGGTGGATTCAATGGGGCTGGTATATTCAGCAGTTCCTCGAAGTATTCTGCCCATCTTTTCCTCTGTTCTTGAATCTCAGTGATTGTCTTTCCTTCTTTGTCCTTGACTGGTCTCTCTGGTTTGCAATATCTCCCTGCCAATTTCTTCGTTGTATCATATAGTTGTTTCATATTCCCTTCTCTTGCAGCTTTTTCCGCCGTCGTTGCTAGTTCTCCCATGTATTTCTGCTTGTCGGCTTTAATGCTTTTCTTCACTTCCCTGTTTGCTTCTGCGTAGTCTGCTTGTGCTTTGACTTTCTCTGCTCGTGTTCGGCTGTTGTTAATTGCTAGTCTCTTATTCTTCCTTTCTTGAATTTTGTCCAGGGTTCCCATAGAGATGCATTCCTTGTGATGATGCTTCTTAGGACCAAGAACCTGCTGACACGTTGAAGTTAGTGCTTCTTTGATCCCTTTCCAGTTGTCCTCCAAAGTAGTTTCTTATTCTTTCAGTAGATCCTGTAGAGCTTGGAACCTATTGTTGAGAGTTATCTTGAATTCTTGGAGCTTGTCAATATCTCGAAGGAAGGCTGTATTAAACCTTTGTAGTGCTGTTTGTCCAGTTGTCCAGTGTTTCTTTAGCTTCAGTCTCATCTTGGCCACAACCAGGTGGTGATCTGAAGCTATGTCAGCTCCTCTCCGGGTTCTCACATCTTCCATTGATCTTCGGAATTTTTTGTTGATACAGATGTGATCTATCTGGTTCTCTGTGGTATGGTCCGGTGAGATCCATGTAGCTTTGTGTATGCGTTTGTGTGGGAATATTGTGCCGCCTATAACCAATTTGTTGAAAGCACATAGGTTTGCAAGTCTCTCCCCATTTTCATTTCTCTCTCCTAATCCATGTCGTCCGATTATATCTTCATATCCTGTGTTGTCCACTCCAACTTTAGCATTTAGATCTCCCATCAGGATGGTGAGGTCCTTTCGTGAGCACTTCTGTATAATTGATTGCAGCCTTTCATAGAACTGATCTTTATCATCGTCGTTGCTATCATTGGTGGGTGCATAACATTGGATAACGTTCATTGTGATCCCTTGCTTCTTTGTTCTGAATGATGCTTTGATTATCCTGGGTCCATGAGATTCCCATCCTACAAGTGCATTTCTTGCTTCTTTGGACAGTATTAGAGCAACTCCCTGAGTGTGTGGAGCATTTTCCCCTTCGTGACCGGAGTACAGCAGCATCTCTCCTGTACCTAGCCTTTGTTATCTAGTTTGTGTCCAATGGGTTTCGCTGATTCCGAGTACTGCCAAGTTGTATCTCCTCATTTCCATTGCTATTTGGCTGGTCTTTCCTGTCTCCCACATTGTCCGGACGTTCCATGTACCTATAAAGAGTGTTGCTCTGGTTGTTAGAAGGTGCATCGGTCTCGTGACTTCCGAAGAATTTCGGCTTTCATCATGAGACGTCATAATTATTCCTTCAACTCCCAGGGCAGAGTTTAAATGGTTTGGATTATTTTTTCTGGTTAGCGTTTTTTTAGCGAGTTATCTTTTCTACGGGATGGGGTCGCTAACCCCATGCCCAACCCTCCTCCTTTACCCGGGCTTGAGACCGGCAGTAACTCTAGAAGAGCTACAGGCGGAGTTGCCTGGCAATCCGCGTCCAAGCTTTTTCAAGGATATACTGTGAAACTGGTCGCTCTACTTTTAACAGTTGAGATCATGAATCAATTGTAGCTAGACCACCATTGAAAGCCTGGAAGCACTGGACGGCTTTGTCTTCCTATCGTGGGACTCCTCAGCAGTGCATATCCACGATCCCACCTCGCGAGATTTGAACCCAGGACGAAATGGTCGTCCAGTGCTTTCAGGCTTTCAATGATGGTCTAGCTTCTATTGATTCATGATCTCAACTGTTATAATTACTATAATGTCCACAAAAAATCTTCTGTTGTTCGCTCTAAGTTAGATGAAAGTTCTTATAAATCATTTTTCTAGATAAAATTTAAAATTTAATAAGCAAAGATGGATAGTGGCTAGCAGTGGAATCCAAGACGCGCATTTCGTCCTATTTGGGACTCGTCAGCTGGATGTACCTGCAACTCAGTGTTGATGTTCATTCTGGGGCTTCAACCCAGTCCCTTTCGCTTCACACGGCATCGCGTTATCCACGCAGCTACGAAAAGAGAGTCCTGAATTTCACTGCTAGCCACTATCCATCTTCGCTTACAATGCTTATCGAGGCGATACCCACATTATGCAAATATGCCAATAAGAGACTGATCAATGGGAAGATTCAAATGAACTATACCGAGTGAAAATTTAAAACAGTTTATAATAAAAAATTCATTACATAATATGATATACTCAGTTCCGACCTACACATTTACATGTAAAGATTATTAATTGTTATCAGATTTGAACCTAGACTCATAATTGAACATCAAATGTTTTCATTACAAGCTTATCCACTTTAAACCTATTAACTGTTTTGAAGTAATCACTGTTCAACATGAATAGTTATGAATCAAACCTTTTACGTTAGGTATCTCAATTTGAGGCTTAAATACAACAGAGATTATACTATCATAGAACTGAAGTAATATTACATACTATGAATCATCGATAAAATTAACACTTAGATAGATTGAGTTTTATGGTCATTTACTATTTGGTTAGTAGATTTCTAAGCCTATTAGTTCCATATTAATAATTATGATGTTAATACTTTAACTGTGTAATCAATCAACTGTGTGTGAAACATTCCCAATAGTTCTGATCTGATGAGAATAGTTTTTAGAAAAAACTTTTTTATAACGTGTTACACTGGTTAATCTATTATGAGACATTTTTCTCCGCATTCCCACGATATTAGTTACGAGTTAATCTATCTGTTGCTGGACAACTCATACGATTTAAAACTTGTAATTATATTCGATGCTCAGTACACATATTTACATATTTTAATTTAGTGTGAAGTAAGCAAATTGATCTGCTAATTTTACTGCAAGATAGTGACTAACTACACTCTATACTTACGTTAGTGATATACCTAGGATATAATTCTGTCGTGAATATAGTCGTTATTAAGTCATATATCATTCTCTGTGATAAGAAAAGACAATACTATACATAAGATGAGGTGAGATATCATGTATGCAGATGTGTGTTTGTAAGGCTTGGCTACATCAATAGTAAATTATTTAATGATTCGCCAAAATCGAATTGGTATAAAAGACATCGAGGGCTTGTGGTGCTTAATTTTTTTTTACCAATAAGAAACCAAATGCAGGTGGATTGGTATTCAGACATGGAAACCAGAATTTGGAAATCAAACAGCTTTTATCACTGTCGTGCTACGATAAGGATAATGAATGATAACTTTGGGATCTATTTATGAACTAATATTATGCATATTTTTAACCGTATGATCGCTAAATAACTAAATTATTCATATTCGTATCCCCCTTATTATAAGCTTTATTTTGAACTATAAACTATTGTTATATGATTTATCATACCTGAATTATGATCTGTCTATCGTTTTCTATCTCCCCTATTCACAGCCACATTTGGCAAGATCTTGTACACGTGTTACTTTCGATTTTATGGTACAATGTGGTCAGTTTGATTGGTATATAAACTCAGTATATTGAAATACAAGGATTCATACCGCAGAGGCTTTTCTGGACTTAACTGGCTGGGCTAGGCAGATAGCAGGACCATTAAGTACTCAAGACTGATCGTACGGTTTTCGTGTGTCGGTGGTTCCATCGATAAATCACTGCTCTCTAATTAGCGATCTCATCACGTCATACATTAGCAGGGCATCCACTCGGCCACAATTTATAACAATCACTGAAACACAACACCAGTCAAAAGTGAGCCTTCAATAGATGTTCTGCAAAGTACAGAACTTGCAGCTGTTTATATCAGGGCATTACATCATCACAATGAGACGAAGTGATCAAGGGAAATTATAGTAAAATAAAACAGTAACCAGTATTTAAACGATTTCATACGTCTCCAATAGCTGTTTACAATAACCTTAATGATATAACAAAAGATTAGTCTGCACATATCTACGCGATTAATAATAATTGGTGGTATCTCACAAAAACTTATTCCGCTTTTGTAATTGAATTATATTTCATTCTACCGTTGGATTTGTCAAGTAAGCACACACATTTGAACGAAAAAAGAAGTCAGAAAAAGTAATCAAACAAAATATACATTACTGTACTCTTTATGTATTTGTTTGTTCATTATAATAATTTCTTGACTTAATATGGCAGATATTTTTCTCCAGAAGGGGTATATATTTATATATATATATATATATGTATATATATATGTTTATGTAAACATATGCTGAAATACTCTGAGAAAGCGAAAAAAAACGAAAACAAAACTAGTAACTAAACAAAGAAATGAAAATAATAACTAAGGTAGGTGAAAAAAACAACAATCGGAATTCAGTAAGAATAGAAAGTAAAAATTGAAGTAATTTGTATGTATGTATGTTTACATAAGAGACAAAGAAAAAGGAAGAATAAAGTATAATATGTATATTGTGTAATTTGAAGAAAGGTGAATCGATATTAACGAATAAAATCGTGATTGAAGAGACTATTAGTATTCTAATTGTGTAATAAAATCCATCAACTTAGGAAATTTCATTATGATTATTGACTGAAGTAATCAATAATTCATACACATAGTCTCATCATATCGAAATGTATAATGTATGTGAATGGAAAGTAGTAGTGTATGATACTCATCAGTTACAATTTATTATAACTTGACTACTAAATCATTATCAACAACCAAAGAAGAGAAGTATTTACATATTACAGGAGACCGAGAAGTGATAGAGGGGATAGACAAGCAAAAAAGAGAATAGTGATTAAATGAAATGAAAGAATTCTAAGATAATTAGATTCTATGTATTTCAGTATATAAATATGGAATAAATCTGAATATTTTAATAAGGTTAAACAATATATATATATATATATATATATATATATATATATATATGATTAAAAAATATTGATATCTATATACAATGAAAGCACTGTAGTATTTTGTTATAAACAAAAGTAAACCAGAACTGTACAAGAACTATCCAAAAACAAATCATCTTTTCGCAGACAAATCAATAGGTAGATCGGAATTATCTAACATGTCATTTACTGTTCCTGTTGTTGTTGTGTTGGTGGCGGTTGTTATTAATGAATTCGTATTGAGACATGGAGATAAGTGTATACCATTTAGATTCAATAGATCCGGACATCCAGATGTTAGATTTGACAATGATGGATTCAACATATTCCCTAATGAAAATCCATCAATATAATCAGTAAATTGAGTAAACATACTGAAATCTGTAGAATGATTACTACTACTAGTATGATTAGGATAAGTAGATGGTATACCGCAAGGATTTAACAATAACCCTTGTTCATTTGGAAAGAATAATAATGATGGATTGTTGATAGGTAGTGTGAAATTCGAATCCATGGGGTTAAGTGTATTGAGGAAATTATTATTATTATTATTATTATTATTATTATTATTATTATTATTATTATTCGATGTTAACCATTCTGAAGTATTAGCATTACTATTACTAGCAGTATTGGTAGCAGTAGTCGTAGTTACTGTGCTATTATTATTATTATTATTACTTTGATGGCTAGCTCCTGGATTCATATGGAATGATGAAAAATTCATATTTGGTATGATGGAATTGGACGAAAATCCATTTAAGGCATTTAGAGCAACAGCCATCGCAGTCGGATTAGTGGTATAACACATCATTTGCATTTGTAATTGTTGTAAACAAACCGCTGCAGCTAATGCAGAACTGTCGGGATTCGCTTTATGAAGATACGATGAACTGGGAGTACTATTATTACCATTACTACCATTATTATTATTGTGATTATTATTAACATTATGTTGTTGATTATCAATGACAGTAGATGGTGTGCTTAAACATAGATCCAAGGAGGAAGCATTATTATTATTATTATTATTATTATTTGGGTGAATAATTGAAGAAGATAGTGTGGATAAGTTTAAAAATGGTGACAATGTCTTTATCATTAAATCTGATTGTATTGTTGTTGTAGACAATGATGATGACGATGATGACAACGTTGAAGATACTGACGTGAGAGATGATGGTGAAGATGAGGAAAGACATCGTTGATTTCGTTGTAGATAATGATTTTGTTTAACAGCGGATTTAGATCTTACAGAAGAATGGGTATGTTTTGGATCTAAAGACGTTATAATACGTGGAGATGATGATGATGATGATGATGATGACACAGTATCCAAATGACAGGTATTACTAATTGTACTACTACAATTTGGAATTGTATATGTAGGAGATTCATCAGGAAAAGTATAGATACTATCTAAATAATTGGTTTTCTTACGATTATTATTCATTTGTGAAGCATTTATCATACCGATTGCTTTTGATGAATTCAATGTATCACAAGTATGATTATTCCAATTATTTGTTATTACTGTTGATGCATACTTCGATTTGACTGATGTTTTACGTGAAGAAGAATATTCCACGCTATTTACATAACTAGTATTATTAATAGTTGATGTCAGCTGATTAACTCCAGTATTAGTAGTATACTTAACACTAGTAGTACCACGATTACGTACTTGACCAAATATAGTTGCCATTGGTCGATTCCGTGTACTACTACTAGCAGAAATAGTAGTCGTAGTAGTAATTGAAGGTTTCAAATTTAAAGTTTTACGAGGTGAATTACTATTATTATTACTATAAGCAGTGGTGGTGGTATTAATAGCAAGTGTTGGCAAGGGTTTACAAATCGATATACATGTAGCTATGGTATTGATATCAGTATTGGTTGAAGTAATGGGATTATTTATTTTACAAACATTATTATTATTGGTTTGGTTAGTATGCAAAATGGTAGTGTCATGTAATTGTGGAGGTGATTTTGATTGACATAATGTTTCATTTAAATTAGATTTTTTACAGGAATTTATAAATGATAATTGAGGTATATAAGGAGGACTATGTTCAATTGGTGTAGATGACCGTCTTGGAGGTAATAAAAGTCCTGGCGAACTTGGAGAATTCAATGAACTTTTCATAATAGCCTCTGTAGCAGCTAACATAAAAGATGACGATGAAGATTGTGAGTGACTAGATAATACAATCTCAGATGTTGATGACGATGGAGCTGATAATGATGAGGGAACTGATGTGTTATTAACAATGATCGACGAAGTTGATGGGATAATTGTCAATTCGTTTTCAGATTTGATTACTGTTGGATTTGGTGTAGAACAGCTTTCGATAATTGTTTCATTTTCAATTTTATGTTCATTTTCAACTGATACTACTGATGAGATAGTTGTAGATGACGTCTCAGTTTCTTCATAAATTGTACTTAATTGAAGATTATTCATCTCAGGTGATGACGATGGCAATGATGTGATAACAATTGAACACATGGTATCCGGTGACGATGATGTTAATAATGGAGAAGAAATGGAAACTGGCGAAATGGAATGTAATGATAGATCAGACATGTCTGGATTTGATTGATTTACAGGATAATTGATACAATTTTGTTGTTGATCTGGGGCAACATTCTCATCTGCATATTGACTGAGTGAGTTTTTTTTTACATACTTTTGTATCATATTATCATTATCAATACTAACCACATTTCCCTGTTTAATATCACATAAATTTACATTATCTACATTTTTTGTAGTGAGATCATTAATATTATTATTACTATTATTAATGGTTAAATTATCTTCTATCGAAGTATCTAATTTTTTGATAACAGAGGAAAGATTTTGTTCTTTTAAATTCAAGCATAACGGTTTAATTGTCCGTGTGGTTATTGGTGTTGGTGTTGTCATTGTATACGGAGTAGTAATTGTAGACGTACTATTGGTAGTAGTCACTGTAGTACTGGGCATTTTGCATGAATCAATAACTGTAGTTACGGTAGTAAAATCATCATCATCATCATCATCATCAGAATTAGTAATATATTCATTTTTATAACAATTATGTTGAACAAGTTGACTAGTTGGTATACCGAAAAAATTCCCTGGACCACTACATTCCTTAATGCTAATAGTTAAGCCATCAACAGTTATATCAGTGATACACATTTCTGGCACAAGATGAATTTGTTCTCTATAATTTGAATGAATTTGATTTGTTGTATTATGTGATAACATATGATTTTGTCCAATAATTATATCATTTCTATGTTTCGTAGAAACTGTTGTTCTGCATGAAGTTGAGGAAGTTGATGATGAAGATGATGATGATGATGAAAGTCTGTATGTAGGATGATGATGATAATCAATCAATGATTCATGATGATTATCAGTGTATGAACATACACTGTCCGATCCAGATAATTGTGTAGTAAGCGATCTTGGTAAATGTATGCGTAATGGAGCCAAACGTGGAAAATCTTCATTAGGTGATGTATGATTTGAAATAGTAGGTGAAAAGCTATCTGTCGATAATGATGATGTTAATGAGGTAGATGAACCGGAACGTCGACGTATTTTACTCACACTCACATTATAGTCTTCGAATGATGAAGAGTAACCACTTTTTTGATGATGATGGTGATAATAATGATGATGATCAGAAGTTTGATCATGACGTCGTTTACGCTTGTCTTTCTTTTGTGAATGTTTACGTCTTTTAGAAAATTCATATTCTTCGTTTCCTGGAGAGGATAAACAACTTTCAGATCTAAGTTGTCGATGACGCTTTTTTGTAGAAATAATTAGATCGAATGGTGTTGATGACGATGATGAAGGGATTGTAGCAGAAGAAATAAAAATTTTGGGCAATTGCATAACATTTGATGTATTTATACAAGGTGTCTGTTTAGTCCATTTAGGTGACTTACAAGTGTTCAATGTACCAATTGTATCTGTATAAAAAGATTGTGGAGAATTTTCAATCTGAATCTCTGGAAGACGCATACCTCCTGTTGGATTGAATGTATGTGGTGATAAAGTTGTATTACTTCGACGTGGTAATTCAACCGGTGCAATAAAATGTGTCGTAGTTTTTGTCGCAGTTGAAATTGAATCATCATGTTTGAGTGAAGTATTCAATTCAAGAAAAGATGAATGATCTGAATCTTCAATAGATGAACTAGTTAATTGTGAAGAATTTTGACTATTACAAGAAGAATTACTTGATACACCTACTGGTGGGCAAGGTAATATACGATCACGTGGTATAGTCAGACGAATCTTTGGTCTCTCATCATTTGTTACATTAAAAGTTGTAATTGTAGTCGTAGTATTGATAGTACTACTACTAGTAGTGGTGGTGGTAGTAGTAGTACTAGTAGTTATATTTCTAGGCATGTCCGATAAAGACTGACTGATAACCTGATTAAAATATAAATAATAAAAAAAACAATATGATAATATAGGTGACAAGCTGTGTAAATCTTTAACAGGATAATATTATTTGAGTTTTCTCTTGCTTCAAAGAATGCATTAACAAAATCCGGTAAGGTTTTTAATACAACTTGTGAATATGATAATAGGCAACTTGTTACAGGTATACATGGCTAATCATCACCTACTTCTGAATGAGATAATGGCTAGTGAGGGTAAGGATGGGAAAAATGAAGATGTTGACTATACAGTTGTCGGTTAGTAGGATTATCATAACCGATAATTGGAGATAAAATGAGTGGCATAGCTCAGAATCAGTCTCAACACCACAGATACATACACATGGTTTTCGCTGTCAAATCATTTTATACGTTTTGTGCTAGGAATTCAGTTTTTCTTCTTGAATCATATTGTTTATACTAAACGTGTTCGACTACCTTTGACATTGTTACCAGTTTTTTTTTACTCTGGTATTCGTCTTGATAATACCACCTCTGTGTGTTGATATGATATGGTAATCTGAACTGAACATAGATTTTATATTACGTATAACTGACTGACTCTTCACGATCTATTATTACAAATATACTGAAATGTGTTAAAAATAAATAACAATATATAGAAAAAAGATTTAAAAAACTTACAGGTTGAGAATTTTCCGTATGAGTAATATTAGTAGTTTGTTGCGTTTGTCTTCCAGATATTCTAGAATGTGCTAACGCAGCAGCTGCATTAGCAGCGGAAGCAGAAGCAGCGGCAACAAGTAAAGTTGTCCGACGGAAACGACGATCAAAGCATAAATCATTATTATTATTGTTCGATTCAATATTAACTGGTGAACTAATCGAATTCGGTGTTGTTCTCGTACTACTGTTACTAGTCATAGGATCTATCGATAAATTTGGTGAACAAGAAGATATTGGAATATTTTTTATAACATTATCAGAATCCTTATTATAAATAACTTTTGCAGAGGTAGCAGCAGTATTAAGGAAAGAAGAAAGAATTGGATCAGTTTTTGACAAAATAATAGGACTTTCACATTCTATTGTACCTCGTGAACATATCACTCTTTCTGGACTTGTAATCATTGATACATTTTCTTTAGATTTAGAAATATTGTCATGATGATATTCATGATGTTTATCTGGTAAATTTAAAGATGAAGATCGTTGACTTTCCTCACTGATACTTCGTTCATGTGAATTTAATTCTTGTTGTGCTTTTTTACGTTTTTCACTGAAAGTTTATTTGAACAATGAAACAAAAGAATCAATAAATTAATTATACTATTCAGATAATTAGTCAGATTACCAACAAATTCTAATCTTGTAAAATTAATATATTTGCAGTCACTATTTACTGAACAGCGAGTAATGTGTGTTAATTCATTGACGTTGCTCGAATTCGATCAATGAAATTGCAGTTTGAAGACTAATTTAAGCTACTTGATGTTTCGTGTTTTGACGTAAATTGTTAATTGGAGGTAGTCAACAAGAAACACTTTACAAGCTGATTAGTAATTGTCACCGTGGTATTCCTACAATCCTGAGGAGGGAGAATTTGATGCTCCTTAAGATTATAAACCTCATTAGTCAGCTCAAGATACATTTGCGCCAAACAAATTTCATTTGATTTGTGTGAGGGCTGTGATACTGACCAGGTGCCCAAACTGAAGCAGGTGGTTTTCTTAGGGGGCCACACCCCTAACCTTTGACCTAAAGGTCTGATCCACAAGGCAGTGGAGCATCATGAGGAGATGCAGTCCCATGGTAGCCGGTGACCAACAATTGATTCATACGCTATTTGTTCCCTCAGGGTACTGGAGTCCATTGGCAGCATTGGTTTGGAATCAGGGTTTTCCAACTCCCCTAGGTGAACCTTCCGTGTCCACCAACCCGGTTAAAGCGCCGTACATTTGCTTTTCGTCCTCTCAATTTCGTAAACAACAGTAATTCCACGAGAAGGCGGTGAGTAGGACTTCTCTGGCAGAGGCTATATACGCGTGGCCATGTGAGAGGATTTCGAGAGGATGAGCGGACTCTCCCCACTCTCGGCCATACCAGGGCATTTGGTACTGATCATTTTCAACTGGTCTAGTTGTAATGTGGCTACCGATTTGAGTGATCCAACATCACGTGTACTATGAAAGAGTAGTTAGAAGTAGCAACTATTCAAATTCATCGAATCAGTTGGAAGATAGGCACATTAATGAGGTATCACAACTGCACTAATAAAAATAAACTGGATATTTGATGAACAATTTTCAATATATACATACATTATTCAAAATAAGTCAATCATTGTTATATTGTGATAATAGATTAAATAGTAATATGATCACAGATTTTGCAAAAAGATAACTTACCGTCTTTCAAATGATTCAATTAATCGTCTGTCTAATATATTTTTTTCTGGTTCCCATGTATTATGTCTACAAAACATATTTTTTTGAAAAATAAAGTTGCTTCAGGGAAAAATATAATCATTGATAGAAAAGGTTAAATATTTGTTATTACCATTTATAGTAATTACATCTTATTAATTTATATTAGCATAGAAATGAATCAATTTATTAGTATAAGAGGACCCAACAAACTCAATCGTAACTAAAACCTTAACGTGGTGGTAGCAGTTGTTCATCGTAATGACCCAGTCAAGCTGCATTCGCCTTTAGGATCTGACGGTGATAAGGTATTTTCTTCAGATAGTAAGTCTATAGAGCAATGTCTCAGATTCCAGTCTAGAACGATATAGCCTTTGTAGTGTGGAGCCAAATAATTCAGACGTACTCGCATAACAGTTGACCATTGGGTTTCGCTTTCAGGTGTATAACCGAAAAGTGACAACCAATTTAATACCTTCAACAGCAGTCGAGATCACTTTGTTCACAATTCGACAAAAGCATCTCTTGGTTATAGTTGCTACGCTAACCCACAATATACGATCGAAAAGTAGATAATTAATTAATCTATCTGAGCTGAAAAGGTCAATTTTAAGCAGTGTTACCAAAGGCTATGGAAACTGAAATTAGAAAGCTTATGGCTCAAAAACAATCGATGACATCGTGAAATACTAGCCACCTTAGTATCTACTTTGTTTTAGATAATCTTCTTGGGCATAAGAATACACTGATAAGATTAAGTTTGAGTATTTGTTTTTTGCAGGGAATCAAAAACCTTGTGGAAAACTCATCCATTTCTTCCTCTCAAATGGAGTCAATGGGACAGAGATGACGAAAAGTCAATAAAGTGTTTACTTATCTTTACGTCGTATTACTTTCCTGTTCAGGCGGACATTACTGAAATCCAACTTAGAGAAGACTGTTCTGCTCCTAAACTAAGCGCTACACCTGCGCTCGCAAAGCAAAAAGAAAGAGCACTCAAGAACCCAGACACATGAAGAATGAGTTGCGCCAGTTCTCCACATTAATTAGATGTTTATTTATATATTTAATCACATATATATTGGTACAAAGAGCACCGGATACATATGCGCCACATAAAATAATGAGAATGGGAGAAGAAGATGCGTATATATAAAAGAAGGGAAAAAAAAGAAAAGCAGAAGAGTAATGATGGGGGAACTGAATGTACAACCAGAAGAGCTCTCTCAGTTAGGAAAGTTATAGCCACTCTTTTTGAAGAAAGTAGAAGAAGGTTACAGCAGGCTCACCACTGGCTTCTATTCTGAGCCATATCTGATAACGTCTCTAGCCACTGTGTTGCACCATCTCTCGGACCACAGCCAGGGAGTCGTGAAGGACCAACAAAAGCTAGCCCTTTGCAGCTCTCTTTCATGCCACGACACCATGTCATACACTGACCTCCACTCCGCTTTCTCCAACCAGTCCCAGAGTCGGCAAATAATGAAATGGAACATTCAGCTGACAATTAGATGTTGTTGAGTATATAGACGCACATGAACCCCGAATGTGTGTTTTCGGAGACAGGATTCATCAATAGCAAGAGATCCTATTCCTGGGTTCGAATCTCGCGAGAGCGGGTTCGTGGATGCGCACTGCTGAGGAGTCTCATAATAGGACGAAACGGCCTTCCAGTGTTTCCAGGTTTTCCATGGTTGTCTAGCTTCAATTGACTCATGCTTTCTACTATGATAACAAAAAACGCCTAATGTCCATTTGAAGTTCGAACGGTCAAAGTCCTCACATGTAATTTATGACGTGGTTTCAGGAAATCAGGAATAGCGCTTCGTAAGCCCGAATTGTTAGCATTGGCAGAGCGTCAACATAAAGATAAATTCTTATCACCATTGAAAGAATTGATTGGGAACAAGAGCATATCGAGTGCTGTTAGAAGTAGTATAGTGGTCGTTACTTTCTAGTTGGATACATTGTGAAAATCAGTCAGTCACAATGTAGAACTTCGTACGTACGTACATCAGTTCCAGTAGCCATTCCACATTAGCACAGAGATGCAGTTGTCGATTCAAATTCCATTGTGGTAGAAGTAGTAAGAGTACAAGCAGTAATCAGAAAGATTAGGGTTTGAAGATGTTATTGAAGGAGTATAAGCAAGTGAAATAAATTTGGAAAGAAAAAAAGGATAGGGACATGAAGAATTCAGAAGATTAGAATTTGGTAGAACACAAAGAGTGGATGCACCTTCACCATTGCAAACGATTTGGAGCCATGTCATTCAAGGTCTCTAACCATCGATTGCTATCATCTCGCGGATCCAAACCAGATAGTCTACACCTACCAACATGGCTCAGTCCACTTGTCTGTGAGTGACTTCATGGATTTGTGCCAGGGTGTACAGACAGAAGCAGATGGTTTTCTTGAAAGATCACACCCGGAGCCTTCGATCTAGAGGTCTAATCTGCAAGACAGTGGAGCAGCACGGCTCAGTCCAATTGTCAGTGACATCATGGATTTATGACACGTTTTGGTCTGGTCGCCTTTAGCTTTCTTCCAACCTACTCCTACACCGTAAAGCATTGCACGTCGGGGCAGTCGGTCGTTGGGCATATGTAACACGTGCCCCAGCCATCTCAACTGATCAAGTTTCACTACCTCATCAATCGATTTGCCATCCCTACCTAGTACTCGTTTCCTAACAACTGCATTACTTACCCGGTTGTCCCAAGATATACGAGCAATGCTTCGAAGACACCTATGATCGAATACTAGTAGCCTACGAATATCCTCTACCTTTATCGGCCATGTTTCACTGCCATAAAGTAGGACGGAACGGACTGTTGAACAGTAAACCCGTCCTTTTGTTGCTAGACGGATATCTCGCCTACGCCATAAATGACGCAAGTTGGCAAAAGCTAGACGAGCCTTATGTATCCGTGCTGAGACTTCGTCACACACCAGACCACAAGGGCTGATGAGACTCCCAAGATAAGTGAAGCAGTCAACACGCTCAACCACTTCACTCCCTATCATTAGTTCAGGTGTCGATGCAACCCAATCCTGAAGTAACATTTTGCACTTCGAGGGGGAGAATCGCATCCCGGACATGCCTGCATAGTTGCTTATGGTGGTCAGAAGACTCTGCATTTTGTCAGTCTTCACCAAATAGAGGTGTGGCATAATTTTGTCGTCAAAACGCAGTACATTCGATAAGACATTAATTTGTCAATTAAAGATTGCTACTTAGAATTTTACTTTTTCCAACCGATGTTTTTAGAATTGTAAGGATTAAACGGGGTAGATGAAGCAAATATAACTTATTTGGGTTATCATTATGTAAAAATGAGACCAGTAAATCAATGTAGCAGCTACACCTTACTAGATTAGGTATCTGTTGGACATAAGTACAGTGCTAATCTTCGCGCGTACACATCTAAACATTGGTCGCAATAGCTGTAAAAACCGAGTGCTTGGTGCTGAGTTTAGACGTAAAATTCTAAGTAGTAACGGTAAATGACCGGAAGAGGTTTTAGACATACATCAAAGGAATTTGTCTGGCCACCACCTAGTCTGATATCCGATGATGACTAGTCAGTAGTTGTATGGCAAGGAGCAATCAAACCAAGACATGTTATCGGTCCATAAAGTCAACGATTGTTGATTTGAGTAGTATCGAGAAGTAGACCACTGTGATGAGAGCATAACTTCGACATCCGGACATATGCCTTTCCTCCCCTCTATTTCGTAAACAACCCCCTGCCTCGAGAAGGTAGTGAGTAGGACTTCCCTGTCAGTGACTGTATAGCGTGACCATAGGAGGGTATTATGAGAGGGAGAGTGGATTCTTATCCTCGACCATAACATGGCATTTAGGGACGATGTTCTAGGTTGAGTATGACTAATTTATTCTGCACAGGTTGTAAATAGCTTCTAAAATTGGCTATATCTACATAGTTGACATAAGCTGAATGGTTTGAATGTAATATGATAACACACTTCTGTACCCATGTATGTATATACTCTAACGAAAAAAGATGCAGGAACAGTAGAATTCACGCACACCAATGATAGGTCAAAGTTGGATACTTCATCTAGAAAATTTTATGCGATATGCAAATTATAAGAGTTGACTTAAAACGAAACTTATGATCTTGAACATGTAGGTCAGTCATCAAAGTAAATATTCCAGTTTTATGAAAAATTACTTGAATTTTAGTTAATCTTATGTTTTCTTTACTTGTGTACACATTTTTGTGACGTCTACATTCTAAAACGTGCTGAGAATCTCTTATTTTACCAAATATTTATTGTAGAATAAATCAATTATTTTGAATGTAGTTAGATGTAACAGAGAACTGCCTAATATCAGGAGATATCTTAGTGATTGATTTGAAGTTATGCATCACACAATAGGCTGACAACTTTATGAAAAGGAACGTATAGATATGTTATCTGCCTGTTGTTAAATGTAATTTTCACACGTAATTTAGCTTACATACGAAAAATGGTATTTTTTTATGATTTTGAATAGAGATGGGTGGTTACATCTAAACAAGCTTAGTAAATGCTGTGGTTTATTGTTCAACAGGAAAACTAAATCTCCAGAATTTGCTTGCCTTAAATGTATTCATCTACAGAAAAACACAAGCATCTACTTTGAATGGGTCACTTCCAGATCAGATCAAGCTATCAGGCCTAAATGGGACACACCAGATGTGTTCAATCCAAGGCCGTGTCTAATGCTCTAAGACTAGGCCGTAAGGTCAAATAAATGGGGGTAGAAATCAGGCTAATATGAAGGTCGAATTATAGATCAATGCATATATAATCAGCCAATCAAAAACAAGTATTGACCAATAAGCTAGTAGAATAAATGTGGGCAGACAATCATATATTCTTTCTACTTTATTTGAATGGTAAGCAAGTTGTGAAGACTAGCTAAAACTCATTGCCGTAATTCCTGGATTTCCTTTAAAATATGAACGAAAACAGAAATTACTTGTGATATAATGAATAAAAATTTAGGTTTGTGAATACTTACTCGTCAGACCAATTTTTCCATTTCACTAGGTATTCTACACGACTCTGTAAAGAGAATTAGAATAGATGGTCGATTCAAAGGCACTAAGTAAGCATTTAGAATAATCTCAATAAAACAAAAGTTTCATTCGTTAATATGATGTTTCTTAGAATCTATATTGTACAAATGTAGATTTTAAATTCTTTGAAAGTTACAAATATTGACTTGTTAGTGGGACTATGATTTATGATGCTAAAATGTCAGGAGAAATGTTACCAGTTACTAGTGTCAAAAGATGGTTACAGTTTGGTATGAGAATTTAAAACTGAAGATAAAAATGACGCTTTTCATTACGCACCGATATCAGCTATAATGCCAAAATGCTATTTAGTCACTTAGATGAATGAATTTAGCGTCAACTCCCATGAACTTTCTATTTTAGGTCTTATTGAACTCGTACATAAATTGTACACCCTCCGATTTAGTAGTTTAGTGAACAAAGCACAGTCTTTCAAACATCTCACAAATTCAAACCACACATCACAAATTTTCCCGTGTTATCTAATGATGTACACCTGGTATATGTTAAGACAAATCGTGGTTGATTATCGAACCTCCAAAGATCAATAAAACTCATTACAAACATAATCACTAAGTAAAGTTTTGGGACAGATATTGTAGTACGGTGTAGTTCTTATACACTGTAGATATACAGTATTATCTTGGAACTTTAATGTAAATATATTGCACATTATGTGAAATATTTCCCAGTATTTTTCGATTTGACCTTCTTAGAATAAAATGTATTTGGCTCCCGATGTAATATATTTTTAATAATGTATAGATACATTAGATTATAAAATCTAGGTTATTTGAAAATATTTGATCATCTCACTAGTGCAATCGTAGTCATTGGAAATGAACCTAAAATTAGACTATTTTGAACTGATCATAAAATGTGAAGATCATGGGATGATTTGCTGGATCCTGATCGTCAAAATTAAGATTGAATATAAGCCCTTAGAATATAATGAGTTTACTAGTATTAATACCATGGTTTAACTTGATAATTTCAAATAAGTTGATCATTGAGTAAATTATTATGGATGAAAATAATACATATTCGTAATAACTCAATGAATAGAAAAATTAGATTTTCTGACGTTTCGTGACTCAGTGTAAGTCACTTCTTCAGAGAACAAATATTTTTTCCTTTAGCATATAGTTCACACATAGTATACAATATTATTAGTGGATTTATAGTCAGGCTTAAGGAAATATAAAATACCATTTATTTCCAACCTGTAATTTTTCATTTTTTACTGAGTTTATGACTACTGGTAACAAAACAAGTATTAGTTTAATAGTATAGATATATAAAGGCAAAATATATCATGCACCGCACTCACAATAAAAGTATGATAGACTCTAAGAATGAAATGTATTATTTGGTACGTACTGTTTGTTAAAGTATTTATTACTGAGTGAAAGAAAGTGAGAAATATATGAAATAACATTTTAAAGTGTATACAAAACTATCCCTTTTTTAGACACTTACCCCACGTATTCGTTTTCCGACAAGATGTTCAACTCTATATACACCAGAAGTTCGTGAACGAGATTTATGCATAATTATCCAGTTTATAGTTATAATCCAAATTAAATATGTAGCCAAAACATAAGGTGTTTTCAAAAAAAATTGAATAACGTTTAGAATAATCCAAGTAAGTAATCCGGCTGGTGTTAACTCGAACGTCCCTTATTCACAAATGATGAAATGTTTCTTACTAACTCACTGTTTGTATTTCTACCCCCTTTCTAATTGAATATGTCTTCTTTACCCCTGTGTCTTATTCAAATTCAACCATTCAAAAATTAGTGCGTTAAATCCTTTTTTCTTCGCGGGGTCAACTGAAAGCCAATAGAAAAAACTTAATAAGGGAACCTTGAAAATTTTCCGCTGATTACTTTGCAATTCTTATCAGCCAATCGTATTGTAGATAATGGTGGTGTGTTGTTTATCCGCTCAACATAGATTAAACTTAACATAGTTACCAGGACAAAAGAATGGCTAGACAGGCCTGAACATTCATTCCTCCAATGGCATTCGTCCACTTTTAAAGTTGGTTGTCCTCACTAAATTTCTAACTATGTGGTGGTGGGTCACTCTGTTTTTATAAAAAACACATTCGTAGTTTGCATTGACTACCTTTTATTGTTTTGAATAATAATTGTGTTTAAGTTTTAGGTATTTGTTATTTGGACATAAGCTACTCAGTGCTTAATGTTTTTTGTGATATCATTATGAAATATTCTTGCGACTAGAGCGTGCTTATTACTAGATTTAGAATGCTGTGTCAAATGTGTAAAATTACTTTATCCCATACTTCATACTTCTGGAAATGTTTTGACCACCCAAATATAGTCGAAATACTTAATATATCGAAATATCTGGTGAAAACAGATTTTTTTAAAATTTAGTTATGAAATTTACTTCGTTACATTAAATAGTCAGCATCATTAGTAAGGAAATTCAGTTAAGGACTTAGTATTTTACTCTTTTCCATCTACTATTTAAAAATGACCATAGTAACTAGTTAACCAGTCTCCCCCCTTTGTACACATGTCATGACAAAACAATTTGTTTATTTTCAATAAAAATGTAACTTGACTTATTTGACCGAATAGATAATTGTCCTTCAAATAAACTTTTAGTTCGCAATCGGTAGTGGCCAATTGTTAAAATGACTGTTTCCAGTAGGATATTTAATTAATTAAAAATGAGTACATGTTAACTAGTCTATACTATCTACATCTATTGTTACAATATTCATACTGTGAAATTCTTTAGTTTGATATTAGTAACAATATAAATTGGATAGTTCATTCGGATATTGTTTGAGTTATATGACTTGTGAAATTCAGTGAGTGGAAAGTATTCAATGATGATTATGATTATTATTATCAATGACATCAGACTTTGTTGTTTGTTTTATTCCCCAAAAATCTTCGTTTATTTTATTTTTTATGTACAGTTTTGCAAAGAACAAGCTATTAAAGTGATTACTGTCCTATTGAAAGTTTGATAACTTTTTCGTCCTAGAATGGAACTATTCATCAGTGGACATTAGTTAAATAGTCAAAAAGTTATAGACGTGTCACAAAATCTGATTTTCCTAGCTTCAATCTCAGTTGGATATCATCAGTGTACACTTTTGAAAAGTCTCATACTTGGACCAAGTGAGTTATCCGATACATCATTAATTTGAATGGTTATTAAAATAAAATCAGTCGGTTATCTAAACTATAGATTATTTTATCGTAAACTAGGAGAAAAAGAGCATGTAGGCTTCTTATTTTCATTGCTGATTTGTGATAAAAATTTACCTTGAAATTTATTACTTTTTGAGGAAAAAAAAATCAATCTTTTGTGAGATCAAAGTCAAACAAAGTTTTCTACTACCTGATTTGTATAAGTCTGTATTTTCTCACTGTTAATATTAAGGATTTCAGTTAATTAGTTTTTATGGGTATATGTAAATTCGGAGCAGATTGCCTTGATACTGACATTTAAGCACACGTTTTTATTAAAACTAAATAATGACCAGAAGTGGAATGCAGGATGGTCGTTTTGTTCATCGGATAAGTCTTTAACAGAATGAAACATTAGTCCTGAATTCCACTGCTAATCACCATCTAATTTTGATCTCCTACCGATTGTTTCTAATCGCTAAACAAGAATTGTCCTTAATTGTTGAAATGCATCGGGTAGTTGTGACTTGATAGTTAATGCATTCTCCTTTCAACTAGTTGTTAGTTCTAAATTAAGATTTTATTGTAATTTGCTTTTGATTTGAACAGTTAAGTGCTTAGCAGATGGTACTTGATGCAATCCATAATTTAACGGCTACTAGGTTACCAAACTGTGAAAGTTCTGAAATCGTATGTTTTATTCGTCATCAGTAGTTGCCATAACGATTCGATTGACTTAAGAATAATTTTTATACATTTTACAAACCAAACACTCATTGACCATAGAATGTAGTTATTTTGAATAATGGAAATATACTCATGAACATTTTATGGTAAATGTAGGTTATGCATATTTATTATATGATCAAAGATTCACAATGAAGAATCCTGAAAACAATGATCATACTTTAATAACAAAAAGTTTCTTTTTCCTTTATACATTATCTTTGAAGTGATGTGAAATTTTCGTGTTTAGGAAAGAATATTTTTCATTACTGAATAACCACTGAAAAGCATGAATTGCTGAACACTGATTTTTTTAAATATCTCAAATCATGACTACATAGATGCTAGACGCATGCATTCATTAACAATCGGACAAAAAATCGAACAGTGAACATTTAAATTTCGCGATAAACCTGATATTGATTTTCTTATCATATTTATTGATGATAGAAATGGCGATTGAATTTGTTATATGAAATCGGGATCATTTTAATGAAATTCAGATACCTAGTTTACTGTTGTGTTTTAAAATAAATTTAACTATGATCTAAATTAATCGCTTAATAACAAATGTCAATTTCATTCTAATTCAAAGAGTGTGTTTTGTTCGACTTCTCATGTAACAGTGACAGATTGACACCTAAAAATATATTTTATCACAATCTCTGCTTTATCTAATCTTCTGATTTATACCTTCACTTTCCAATTATAAAATAAATAAAAGACAGTTATATATAATTAGTTGAAATAATGACATGGAGAGAACACATGAATCCTAATGCAATCTATTTAACTTCTGTAACGGAGAACTTGAAGGTCATTGTCTTGGTACATTTCATAATTTATTCTACTTCTTTTAAAATATATAGCCATGATCTTCATGTATCAATACATTATTCTATCTCATAGTAGTGATATAGGGATGAAAAATATTCAGGTAGTATTTTAAGTACATAATTTTCTAGACATAAATATTATGTAATTCAAATATAAAAGATTGAATCATCAATCAATAGTATGTCTATGTAAAGTATAAGTGATTTGTAATCTATCAACTCATTGATTTCAACATCTTAGAAACAACAACAAAAACTTTGTTTTTAACAAAGAATGAGAACTTTGAAGTAGATAGATCGAAATTCAAATCTGTAGCCTTCTGGTTAAAAGTTGAGTAATTCAATTATTAAATTAAGTAGAACAGATTTTCCCATTTTATATTATTATTCTGTTTAGTTGAAGGAGCTTCGTGAAGATTGATTTTAACTTTCGGACTGTAGTGATCACGAATTGATCTCTGTCAAAGTGCCTTTGTTAACCACCATTCTAAATCTCAAATTGATTGAAGTTGAAATTGTTTTATTGTACTCCGACTAAATGGTTGTCGTAATTAAGCGTTTGCCTTAAGAGCTACTGGATTCGATGCCTAGTGGGATTGTTTATGTGTACTCTTGAGGAGTTGCATTCTAGAATGAATCAGCTATCTAGAGGTCCTAGGATTTTAGTGGTATCTCGACTGAGGTCAGTCTGTAACGAATAAAATCTACAGATAATTCTTTATATTTTCACCATCATACTTCGTAACTATATATTAACTTAACATCATCTGGAACCCCTCTAAAGTTACTGCCAGTCCTAAGTTCACGTTAAACAAGAGGATCGGATGTAGGATCAACAACCCCATCTCGTAAAATAAAACTCCTCTACAAAGACGTTAATCCGAGAAGGATTAGTGTAACATTACCATACAATTACTTAATGGTTTAGAAAACATCATCCTTTGCTTTTATAATTGTTATATTACTTTTTACACTGACAATAAAAACAGGAAAACTATTCAAAATTAACAAAACACTTGGTAAATGTTTTTTTCTATTTCGAAACTCCTCAGTTGTCCACAAGATTTAGTGTGGAAGAATAGACTTCGATCTTATTAGTGAACATCATACTTTCAGATTAATAAATTCAAAACTCGATGGGCTATATTTTCAACTAGCGATATATTTTTGTGTGTAATTCTCATTCAATGTCACATTGAAGAGCTGTTGTTAGGACGAAAGTGCAATTATATTATAACTCTATAAATAAAACCATCATTACTTTTGTAAATTATGTTTTCCAGATCCTTACAAAACTAGTAGATTGATTTTTGCATTAGAAATTACTGATCGATCAGTTGTGAACCTCTAACTAGACTTTATTGTATTCAATTTTGAATTATTATTTTTTGTGTAAGTTAAGTAAACGGATTTGCAAAATAATTCTTCCTCTATCCATCATCTCTGTTCTTCTTGCTGGATTTGGACTTGTATTTATTCTTTTAGTTGTAATACTATTATTTCGTTTCATACATTACACTCTCATATTCGATAGAACACCTAATGAAATTCATGGTGAATATCTAGCTCTCAAAATGAAGTGACTTTAATAAACCATCGAAACAAGACCATAACTATATACTTACAAGTCCACCAATAATTTATTGATCTGATAATATTGATTTTAAATTACTTCAATAAGTAATCTTGTAAAATAATATTCAATGATTGATCACCGAATGGTGACCATTTGTCTAATCTTTTTAATGCAAATCCAATTCTATTGATCAGATTGATTAAATAGGAATTGTGTACACTAAGTTTTGATGTAAAGATGGAACGCGAATTCGAATCGAACAAAAAATACCAGTTTCTTCAAGATTGAAGATATGCTTTGTTGACGAGTGACCAACTAGCACACCTGAAACCTAAGTCAAAGAGGGTTTCCTGTAGATCAGATCCAGTCACTTTACATTAAATTTTATGGAACTGATTATATTTGAACGGGTTTGAGTTCGAGTCCCGGGGTGAACATTAAATCTGGGATCTCGTTACATCCAATTATGGAGTCCCAAATAGGACGAAACACACATCATGAATTCCATTGCTAGCCACCATCCATCTTTTCTGATAATGTTTGGTTTTTAAAAATTATAAAATCATTGTCTTGTTCTATTCTGATAATTATGCATTCTGAGTTTTCAAATATAACTCAATATTAATTTTAGAATAAACTATTTAACACTAATGATTGTGGAGATTTTTA